AGGCTGAAAACAGGAGAATCACTATGAGTTTAATCTATGTAGTGAGACCCTGCAGACCCTGTCCTAAATACAGGGGAGAAAAAAAAAAAAAAAAAAGAGTAGGAAAAAGAAAGAAAGAAAAACAGTAAACTGAGCAACTAAGGAGACATAACAGTTAAATACAACACATGAACTTTAATCTTTATAGGCCAGGTGTGATGCCACATGCCTACAATCCAAGCACTGAGATGCTGGGGCAGTGTATCTTAAATTTGAGGCCAGGCTAGGCTACCAGGTGAGTTCAAGGTCAGCCTAAACTGCATAGCCAGACCTTGCCTCAAAAAAACATCCCAAAACAAAAAAAGTACGATACACATGAACACATATATGTATAGGAAGAATGAAATCACTCTAATAAACAATCACTACCAACATTCAGCTGAACTATCAAGATGTGCCAGATGAAAAACCACCATGTGCCCTAATTATACTCATCTGAGCTATATCAATTAAGTCACATGCCAGTAAACCTGCCCTGCTGCTTTGCTCCCTCCTCTCTAGCACTGTATGAGCTTCCCAAAATGTCAGCCCTATTATTCAAAAATCCTGTCAGTAAGCTACTATGTTATAGAGATCTCCCAGATTGTGTATCTATATATGTGCACCCATGTGTGCTCACACACTCACTCCTGTCTCCCTACCCTGACATTAGAGAGCTTTATTAATGGGACCCTTCACCTATAGTTTCCCACACTTATATTTGAAGAGCAATAAATCTTTGCACCATTTACAACAAATGGCTCCAGTATGGTATGTTTTAATACTAACCTGGCAGCAGGCCATGTCAGTCAGTGTTATACACACCTTTCTGCACATACACAATCCTGCATGCTATTGTGTTAACTGTACAGAAGCTATTTTTCATTTTATGCATAGTTCCATGGCAACTAACTAAATGAAGAACAAGTTCTGAGCTGGACGGCATGGCGGCAGATACCTGTTACTTCAGCACCGGGGAGGCTGAGGCAAGAGGATTATTGCAAGTTTAAAGCCAGCTTGGGCTATACAGTGAGGTCAGTTGGGGATGGGGAGATGGCTCAGTAGAATAAGCGCTTGCCTGCCAAGTGCAAGGGCCTGAGTTCAATCCCCAGTTCCACAAAACAAACAAACAAACAAACAAACAAACAAACAAACCCACCTAGACAGTGAGTTCAGTCATCTTGAACTACACTGAGACCCTGTCTTAAAAAACATAGGTTCTGACATGCAAATTTTAGTAGTGTGAAAATGACAATTCCCTTTATTTTGCGTAAGACAGACATATTTTGGTATAACAATGCAAACCTGTATATGGACTAGAAATCTCTTAATTAATTTTTTGTGGCACCAGAGATAGAACTCGGGTGGACCTCGCACTTGCCAGGCAGGCACTTATTCTGCAGAGAAGTATCCCCAGCCCCTGATGATTAATTTAGACCCATTATTAATTTTTACAGTGAAACCATGATATTGTGATTACCTAGGAATATCATTATCCTTAGAGGATGCACGTTGAAACATTTGGGAATGATGTAAATTGTTTAGCCAAAATAAGCGCACAGATGGCTGGGGATATAGCTCAGCAGCATAGTGCTTGCCTAGCATTGTGCAACCTTGGGTTCGATCAATGGCATAAGCCCTAAAAAGTATACATAAAGATATAAAGCAAATGTAACAATATTAACAGTTGTTGAATCTTGGTGGATGGTATATTATTTACTTACTGTATGGCTTGCAGTTTTACTGTAAGCCTAGAACTATGAAAGTGACAGGTGCCAAAAATAACAAGAACAACATCAACGAACCAGTAAGGGCAGACCAGGCATGGTGGCACATACCTGTACACCCAGCACTCAAGAGGCTCAGACAGGAGGGTTGCTGTGAGTTCAGGCCCAGCCTGAACTACATAGCAAGAACCTGTCTTAAAAAAAGAAAAAAAAAAAGATTAAGAGGTAGAGGAAAATGAATTTTTTTTTGGTATCAGGAATTGAACTCAGAACCCTGTGCTTGCCAGGTAGATGCTGTGCCACTGAGCTATATCCCTGGCCCAGAAAATGGATTTTTAATAAAACAATGTTTTTTCCCTCTGTACAAATTGCACAGTATATTGAAGGGATTAAATATAATGGTCAGTAATTCATTATACAATAAGGGCTATTGGTCATTTTAACCTATCTCAATCAAATGTAATTTTCTCACAGATTTTCTACCTTATCAGAGGTGATCAAAGAACGTGGTTCAAAGCTCGATGCACCAGAAATGTGGGCTAATGCTGCAGCCAAGGCATCCACTGCCCCTTTCTCGTCTATCAGTCTCTGAGCTGATGGTCGGAAAAAATCAACAGCAGCATAAGAAACAGAAGCCAGAGACCTATGGTTTAAAAATAGTACATTTTTTTTGGTCAAAACATAGGGAAAATGAAAATTAAAAGAATGAATGGGAAAAGAAAGAGCAACATTTTCATTATTTTAATATAACTAAATATCTGCTGGTAAAACTGGTGATTAAAATGTTCTCATATTTGAACTAGGAGAGCTTAAAGATGAATAGCCTAATACAAAAGAAAACATTATTCAGCAAGGTCAGAAAGCATACCTGATGGCATCCATGCTTTTAGATTTAACTAAATCCATTGTAGAAGGAACACCTACACGTTTAAAAGTAATTCCCTGAAAATGAAAGAATTACATTAAAGAAAAATGGAAGTTGTTACAATTAATTACTAAATTAATATTTGTTGAATTTCCATTTCTTGGACTTAAAGATTTCCAAGCCCTAGCAAAGGAAAAAATCTTTCTATTAAATCATGTATTATAAACATCAAAGAGAAAAAAAATTGAATTTCCCTTGCAAAACAAAGCTGACTCAAAAACAGAAAAAAAATACTATTTAAATTTACTGACTTAAAAAAAATAAAAATAAAAAACATAAATTTACCAAGTTTGTTCTTATTACTCATCTCTCTTTACAAAGTATAAGAACATACAAAAATATACATCATAAAAATGGGGTAAAATGTGAAATATACAAAAAAATCTAGGCCCCCCAAAACACGTGATTTTTAATAGAAACTGGCCATTGTGTCATTATCAATATAATTTTAACTATTACACCAAAACAATGTCACAGTCACTCTTCACAGTACTGGACCAATACAATGAAATCACAACATACTTGTAATTTCAGTATCAAGGGAGAAATTCAAGGGGAAATGAGAACATTACCTCTTCTGTCTTCACAATAAAAGCTGTATTAGAAACAAAGTCTTGCAGCTACTATAAATTTAGCTCTCCACATGCTTCACTGCCAAATGAAGCTTAAACTGGGAAAAGTGAGGAAGATCTATTTGCAAGAACAAATATAAAAAGAACTCTTTTCTAAGGCATCATGTAAATAATAAATTATAGGCTGAAATAATATAACTTTACTTACTGCTTTTTGTTCCACATATCTTAGTTGACCTCTTTCTCTTGGTTGATAAAAACATATGCAAATCCCCGTTCGGCCAGCTCTCCCTGTACGTCCAGAGCGATGAATATAGGATTCAACATCCTAAAAATAAAAAGAGGAATAGTTTTTAAATTTGGCAAGCTCTATAATAATCCCAGGGTTGGGGATATAGTTAACTGGCATAAGTGCCTGCCTGGCAAGTGCAAGTGTAAGGGTGCAAGGTCCTGAGTTTGATTCCCGGTTCCAAAAAAAAAGGAAAGAAAAAAGAAGAAAAAAGAAAAATCCCAGGATCCACATAATAAATGATACTAGTATTAGTATTTCTATGCTCTTGTACTTTTCAACACCCTCCCAAATAATACACATAGTAAAAGTAAGGATGAAGCTATAATTCAAAAGCTTTTTAGCCACCTACCCCAAGGTTCTTTGTATGCAACTTTTTATACTCCCCTCTCACGCTTCTCAGCCTCATGGCTAAGATCAAGTGTATAGCTTCCCTCAAGTGGTTTTGTTGCTCCAAGTTTCAAATCCAAACAATGAAGTTAATCATTCACAAGGGATCAGATTCTGCTATATGGAATACCACATTAACAAAAACTAGCTAGGACTAACAACAAAGGACATATTTTTCGCAACCCAAACAATCTTTGTAAGTAAGACAGCAATTTATAATGTTGCTCTCATGTTCCCCAAATCAATCCCATTTCCTACCTGTGGAGGAGAACTCTGAATCACCAGGTCAACCTCAGGAATGTCCAAACCACGGGCAGCCACATTGGTGGCCACCAAAACTTTAAAACTACCTTCTCTGAAGCCTTTCAGTGTAATTTCTCTTTGTGACTGTGCAATGTCCCCATGTAAACACTGGGCGTTCTATTGAAAAAAGGTGGAAAATTAAGTATACAGTTCATATTTATAACTGACAGTACTCTAACATCATCTAGTCTATGCTCTTTTTTGTTTTTTAATCTTCCTGTTTTTAATTATTAAAACAATGCATGCTTTAAAAAAATTACAGGAAATATTTAACATAACATGTACCAGCTTCCCTACTGCCAGCCTCTTAGAAATATTTCATAGCTAAAATCTGGTGGATGGGCCAGAGGGATAGTTTAGAATAAGTGCCTGCTTGGCAAGTGCAGGGTCCTGAGTTCAATCCCTAGTATCGCAAAAGAAAAAGAAAAAAAAAAAGTCTGGTGGATATTCTGTCAGGTGTCCTTTGTTGTTTGTTTTCTTGCAGTGGTAGAACTGAGTCCAGGGCATTACTCTATGCTGAGCTATAACCCCAACATGGGCTGTCTTTTTAAGCAATTACATTCTGTCCCCACTTGACATATACCAGCATATACTATAATTTTATGTATTTATGAATGGGATCACAGCTTTGTACATACTGCTTGGTAATCTTATTTATCTACCTATTTATTTAATGAACACAGGGGCACGCTACCACTGAAACACATCCAAATCCCTCTTCTTCTTTTTAAATTTTTGGACAGGGATTCATTAAACTTGTCATTTTCCTACCTCAGTAATCTAATGCTCATCTCTATGTAATTTTTAACATCTGTATATAATTTCTTCACACAGGTATGTGAAATTACTGAATATTCTGTTGTATCTTTTGTCCTTTTTGGGGCAGTACCAGGGATTGAACCCAGGACTTTTACACTGAGTTAACATCAGCCCTTTTTTTATTTTTTATGTTGAGACAGGGTCTCACTAAGTTGCTAGCTTGTCCAGGCAAGGCTAGAACTTGTGATTCTCATGCCTTATCCTTCCAGAGTTGTGAGTACAGGTATGTACCACCACAATAGGCTATGAATTTTCACATTTAGAAATACTGCTGCTATAAATGATCTTATACTTGTATGTGTTTCTAGATGTCATCTACATTTACTTCAATTCTAAAGCTGAATTTCTGAGTCAAAATTATGAACATTTAGGGCTTGGATGTACTTGCAGAACACCTGCTTAGCACACACAAGGCTTGGGTTCCATCTTCTGTACCACAAAAATGAATCAACAACAACAAAGCCCTCACATTAAAAAAAAATTTTTTTTTGATCTTTATCTATTTGGTACAAGGTCTCACTATGCAGCTCAGACTGTCTCAGCCTCAGCAGTGCAGGGATTACAGGCATGTGCCACCATACCCAGTTTTGGTGGCAGGCATGTCATGTGGTGCTGGGGATTCAACCCGGGTCCTTGCACTTGCCAGGCAGACACTTATACAGCCAAACTAGCTCCCTAGCCCTGCAGAGATTTCATTAGCTTTGGATAAACTGTGCTATATCCCTATCCCTTAATAACTTTTACCTGAAATTTTGGATTCAGTTTAAGCCTGATGAGTTGGACCTCAGAGTGATCCATTTCTCCAGGAGAAGTCCTGGTGAGCTTGAGCCAGAAACTCTGGAAAGTGCAAGGATGTATCCCAGCTACCAAAGTAGCCAGCAGTAGAACTGAAACAGTATGACCACGACCAGCCTGTCCTCTTTCATTGCAGGGGAGGGGGTGGGCACTCTGCTTAATTGCATCTGATAAATGGATGGTAAAGAACAAGGGTGGCATGGGCTGGGGAGATAGCTCAGCAGTCTAAGCATCTGCCTGGCAAGCGCAAGTACCCTAGTTCAATCCCCAGTATAGCATGCAGTGCCAGCTCCAGAACCCCAGGCACACCATGCTAGCTCCAAAACCAGGTATAATGGCACACACCTATAATCCCAGCACTGGCAGGCTGAGAGAGGAAGATCACTACGAGTTTGAATTGAGTAGCGAGACCCTGTATTAAATACATAAATATTAAAAAATAAAAAAGAACAAGGGCGGTAAATCCAAACATTTTCCCAGTTAAGATTCTCAAGGCTAGGGAAAAAAATTCAAAGGGTCTTTCCCCCAATTACATGTTATCAAGTGAAGCCCAGCTAAGCTTGCAAAAGCTGTGGTAGTTTTGTATCTTTTCCTAAATAGGTCGACAGGAGTCACCTGTCAATGTACAAGGATTAAGCAAAGAATTAAAGACGTAAGGTGTCTTTTTTTTTTTTTTTTTTTTTAACCTAAGTACCTAAGTTGTCTTAAGTTACTTTTCACTTGATGCTGGACAAAAATACCTGATGCTCAAAATTAAGGAAGGAAAGATTTTTTTTTAGTGTAGTTAGTAGAGGTTTTAGTCCATACTTAGCTAGCTCTAAGGCAGAGTGGCAACTGGCAGAAAGCTGCCATTCATGGCACATTTAAAATTTTAATAGCTATTATTAAACTACTGGCCATAATCCTTAATTTAATAGGCAAAAATGATTTCTCAAATGTTTTGTTTTGAGAGAGGCTCTTACTTCGTGGTTCAGACTGGTCTTGAACTATGTAGTTTAAGATGACTTCTAACACATGGCAATACCTTTGCCTTAGCGTTCCAAATGCTAGGATTATGGTGTGGGCCACCATGCTCAGGACTCCAAAATGCTGTTTTAATTTGCATTTCTGTTATTTTTAGTAAAGTTATACTGGTTTCATCTTGTGAATAATTTTGCTAGTATTATAAATAAATGTCCTAGTATTCCTAGCCATTATTAAAAGTTCAGAACTAGGGCTTGTGAGATAGTTCAGTGGATTAAGCACCTGCTTCAGCAAGCGCAGGGACTGGGGTTCAATCCCCAGCACCACATGCTGTGCCGGCCCTGCCCCAGGTGTCCTGAGCTGGTGACCGAGTCTGGGTGTGGTGGTGCACACCTATAATCCCAGCACTGGGGAGGCTGAAAACAAGAGGATCACTATGAGTCTAAGCTGCATAGTAAGGCCCTGTACCAAATACATAAAAGAATGGCTTCATTAAGTACCTATGTACCTGTGATTATGTCAAGTTCTGAAATAGTCAAAAGAAAGAGTTTTAAACAGACATTTTGCTAGGCATCTTAATAGAGCATGATTCATGTGATAGCGCAGGTAGATGCCTGGTGCTATAGAACACCTAAAAAAGGAATCTAATTTAACCTCATTTGAAGGGAAATCCATACTATTGAGAAAAAAGGGAGAGTAAAAAGAAAAAATTATTGAGACACTGGAAAGGAATATAAATTTTATCCTGAGGACAATGTGGAACAACTGAATAACTATAGGCAGAAATCTACCATGAACATATTTCATTGTAGAGCAGACAAAAATTCTGGCTACATCTACAGAATACATTAGAAAAGGTAAGACAAAAGCTAAAGAGGCGCAGTTAGTAGGAATTGAGAAGCTCTATCAGGTCTTGCTAAAGTAGTAGCCATGACCAATCTATTCACTCAACAAATACTTAGCAACCTGGAATTACCAGGCACTAAAGATAAAAGGTGAAAAATAAGACATCTGTCCTCAGGATCATTATACTCTAGTGGAGGAGATGAATATTATTGAAATCACTGGCCACAGAAATAAATTTAGCCAGCCAGGCATGATAGTGCACAACTGTAATTCTAGCACTCTGGGAGGCAGAGGCAGAAGGACTGTTTGGGCTAGCCTGACCAATTTAGTAACATAGTGAGACCCTGTGTCAAAATAAAAAGCAAAACAAAGGGCTGGGAATGTAGCTCAGTGCAAAGGCCCGGAGTTTGATTGCCAGTACCTCAAACAAACAAATTTAAAAATGGTTGGGGATACAGCTTAGTAGAAATGTTAAGCCTCCAGTACTGAAAAAAATTATATAGAAACTAGGGCTTGAGGTAGAGCTTAGTGGTAGAACACATAAGGCTCTTGGTTCAATCTCTAACACACCAAAAATATTTTAAAAATCTAACTGCTCAGACTCCTGTACTAGTTCATAAAATCTTTTATCTCAAAACATTTTTGAAGTCTCATATCTCCCATGAGCTGCTTTTATTACTTTTTACCTAAAATACCAGTCACTGTGCAGAAGGAAAATTCTATACTCCCCACCATAGAAACTGACTTACTGTTACTAAGATATAAATTCTCTCTAGTGTTCGTAACAAGGGAGACTCATCCCTTTGAGATAAAGCAATAGCTGCTGAGTGTCCCACACCAACAGAAAGGTAAAGCCACCTCCTTCTCCCATACCTTCACCCTTTACCATTATATCCACTGTTCAAACACCAGCTGATGCCGTACAATTATTTAAAATGACACTGGGGAAAATGCTGACAGCATAGTCTTTGAATCTTCAGTTCTCACCTTAAGACAAACAACTAGGAAAAGAGACTAAACACTCCAGATGATAATTGTAACAAAAATAAGTGACTTCCCAACATGAGCGGAAGGGTCAGACTTGTACACAGGGCAATCAGTCAGTCTTAAGAACAGGCACTTCCTGGAAAGCATCTTCTCAGATGAACTGCTAAAAATAGTAACTGTGGCTTAGAAGCATTTTGCACACTCAAGGTCTGCAGATACTAGCACAGCACTGGTGCTCAGGCCTCATTGTTCCAAATGAACAAGCGAATGCTCCCTTTCCAGGACAAAGCTTCACAGTGAGGAGAAACTGCTGGGCCCAGAATAATCCAACCTAAGGATGCCAAGGACAATAGGAGCAAAGGAAAGATCCAGATAAAGGTGAGAAACACACAGCTGGAGCTCAGAAGTGAGAGACCGTTTTCCTTTGTAATGCTATATGGAGATACAATTTGCAGACCATATTTTTAAACACTAACACAAATAATAAGAGCAGTGGTTCTAAAGCTGTAAAGCTAAAAAACATTCTATACCATGCCTTCCTATTGAAAGTTTAGAAGGATTAACTTTATCTAAAAGTGAGCAATAGAGGCCTCTCTCACTTTTTTTTGGCGGAACTGGGGATTGAACTCTGGCCCTCGCGCTTGCCAGGGAAGCACTTATTCTACTGAGCCATCTCCCCGGCCCATAAAGGGCTCTCTTGAGGGCTT